ATTTAGGTTTGTTTTTTGTTTTTTGTTTTTTGCTTTTAGTTGCAAGGTTAATGCAAATTCATACTTTCATTAATTCTCTGCATGTGCAGTGTCATTGTGCCAGATGACAGGAGATTTTCACAAGTGTGTGACATTGAAGTCAGTTTCTCAATTGCACAGCTCCTCCAAGAAGAGCCGTCTGCAAACACAATTAAAACTGTTTAATTATCTACCTCAGTGCGGCTCGACTGAATTTGCATGAGCTGAATTGAGAAACAGGAGGATGTTTTCATATGGGGTCTCTTGCTCAGATGACCACAGGTTAGGGAAACAAAAAAAAAAGGAACAAAAGTGGACTTGAGTTTATTCATATAGAGCAATTTTAGACTAAATTATACAATACTAAAACATCTGCTGCATAATTACCTTCTCTCAGAGAAAGGCTCTTTGGTAGTGCATAAAAGTGCTAAAGAAGAGTCATGCTGCATGCTGTGAGACATTACATTTTGATGTATTAAAAGGTAGCCTGTTGTGTAGTTCTTCAAGCTTTGTCCAATATGAGCTGGAAATTTCAGTGAACAGCAAGATTTTCAGTCAAATGTGCTCATAAAGTGGTAAAAATTGATTTGATATTAAGTGGGCAAGAATGAATTGCAACATTTCAGAGCATTTGCATCTGATGTTCCTTTAAATAAAATGTTCAGTTACTAAATTGCCACATTAATAATGTTAAATTGGAAAAGGTACCTTGTGTCACTATTATATGAGACCCTGGGCCACAAAACCAGTCATAAGTAGCACGGGTATATTTGTAGCAATAACCAACAATGCATTGTATGGGTCAAATTTTATTTTTTTTTTTATGCCAAAAAATCATTAGGATATTAAGTAAAGATCATGTTCCATTAAGATATTATGTAAATTCCCTACCGTAAATATATCAAAACTTAATTTGTGATTAGTAATATGCATTGCTAAGAACTTTATTTGGACAATTTTAAAGGTGATTTTTTTCAATATTTTGATTTTTTTGCACCCTCAGATTCCAGATTTTTAAATAGTTG